CTTAGTTGACGTCAAGATCCGTTTAGCATCAGTAAGGGGGAAAGAAAGATTCTGACTTACAATCACAAAAAGAACGTACAACTAAGCTTAGTCGATGTAAGTTAGCTCAGATTAGTGGTAAAAAGAAAGCGACTATTAATAAAAAGAAAAGTAATCCAGCTAAAACAAGAATTATGGCTACTGTCTTTAATAATGATATGTTGCCAGTACAAGTAGAATGTTAAGTGTTGAGTTATCTTCTTCAGGCAATGGATGTACGTATGCATAATTTAAAATGTTTGGTTAATTATTATTATTATGTTTAATGTGTTTTTGCAGTTAATGAACATATATCTACTACTGAAGCAGATAATGAAGATTTGTGTGCTGCTGAAGAGCTTTGCTTAATTTACAAAACTTCGTTTAAAAGCAGAAAATTCGGATCGATTGTTCAACACAAGTGAAGAGTGGTGATTTAGTTGATCCGTTTTCAAACAGAATTGTCAGTGCTAAAGAACTATCTACTTTAATAGGATTGCAATCCTTCCAGTTATTAGCCACCATTGTGGAATTCGTTGTTTCTAAAGAATAGGAAAAAGGAGATCAGTTATGTCTGTAAAGGATCAATTTATATTTACTTTTATGAAGTTGAAAACTGATATGCAAGATATAATGTCTTATCCATTTTATTTGGAGTGAATGAAACTTTTTATCATTAAATTTTTTAACATTTTTTAATAAAACTGGTAGAAGTTCTTAGTATGGTATAATTCGGCCTTCAAAACAAGAAATATTAAATAATGTGCCTCTATGTAAGTAAGAGTACTACTTGATTGTACCGAAATCCCAATACAGCAAGCCAAATGTCTTTGTTGTAGGCTAAAAAATTACTCTGACTACAAAAAGAGGCATACTATTAAAATATTGACTGGAGTGTCACCTACTGGTCTCATTACTTACAAAAGTGAAGCATATGGTGGTAGAACTTCAGAAATAGACATTTTTTAACAAAGTTCAATACTTGAAGTGTGTGAATCATTTCTCGATAGTAAAATGTTTAACAAAGGTTTTCTTATTGGAAACATATAACAGAAGCTGAAGGTATACAAATTATACAGCCTCCTTTCCTCAATAAAAAAAATCAGTTCAGCCATCAAGAGGCTTTACTTAATGCCAAAATTGCCAGAGCTAGAATTCACATAGAAAGAACCTATCAAAGAATAAAAGTGTTTGTCTCTCTGTATTGGTACTTATGTCCGTTTTTCTTCTATTTATATTGTTTTTATTATACGATACTTCTCTGTATCTAACTAAATTTTAAAATGTACTTGTAAAGCCCAGATAGCTCTAACTCGGGCCTTTGAATATAATAATATTTATGTAATTGTATTTACAATAAATACTTTATTAATAATATTATTATTATAATTAATTATA